GTCTCAGAGATGTTCTTGAAAATGTCATTTTTGTAGCAGAGAAGTTTACAGTCACTAGTGGTGAAAAGGACCATTTCCAAAGCTACTATTTGTAGGAATTAAACAAGAGCTTGAGTACTTTGAGTTAGTCTTGCCAGCCCAAAATCAAACCTTGGCCATTTCTATTTTTGGCATTACAGAGAGACTGTAGCTGATTGTGTAACTTGCAGATGGAATCAGTACAATATAGCTTATGTTAGGGGAGGGAAGGACAGGGTTATAGTGTGAAAGGAATCATGAACAGGATAAACAGTGTAACATCATTTTGAGCTTGCACTGGTTCATGCATGCTAATAGACTAAAACATAATTTTAACTTCTGTTTGGCTAGATGTGGAATTTATGGGCAACTAGGATTAATTTCTGCTTTCACTGAAATGAAGAGACACTTTCTTATTTGCTTCAGTGAGTGTGGAATCATTTCTATAGCACCTTTCTGTCAAAGAAGCCCATAGGTGGTGTTATGGTATATGTTCTGGGGTGTGTTATAATTCAGCAGAGCTGCTTCAATTTACCAATCCCATGGTGATACACTAGCATCTACCAGTTAAGAAATAGGAGGAAGAGTGAAATGTCTCTGGGGCTAAGCATAGGCAGTCAGAAAGCCCAAGGCTGAAATGATTCGGTTTTTGCAGGTTAGTCTAAACTGCAGAGATTAAATTGAGAAGGAACTGGATAGACATTCACTTTTGATTCAGGAAATGCAGCCACATACTTTCAGTGGCTCAGGCCAGAAGCTGGGGGGCTCTAGAGCACAGCTTTCTGGCAAGTAGCCAGCATGGACTGTATGTTCACTTCCTCTTCCTGCTGCCCCCAAGGTCTCTGGGATTTGCAGTCTAGAATTACGGCAGCAGGACTCTGCAGAGTTGCTCCTCACTTCCTATTTATGCTTCCAGGTGGCTCTGGGATTTGTAGTCCACAGTTGCAGCTAGCAGTAAGAGTTTTTAGCAGGGTGGGGCCGCACTGTACTCGGGGTGAGGGGGCAGGGTAGAGGGAGGGAAGTTTAGGCTGCCTCCCTGGCCCCAGACACCAGATGGGGTTTACCTGGGGGGACAGTCCCTGCCCTCCTCCCATTCCCCCCAACCCTTCTTTTCTGGAGCAGACAGCCCAGCCCAGCCCAGGGCTGAATAGCATGCTGGAATGCTAGGGGAATGTGACTTAACTTGAACCAGGAAGTGGTCTGGAACAGAAGTTTCATAAACTGGTTTGATCCAAATCAGCTAAGTCTGGTACTACTTCAACCAGGTTTATCTTAAACCAGTTTCAGCCATTCTGAAACTGGGTTATGGTGAACTGAGCTTCTGTTCTGTTGCAGGTTGAAACCAGTTTCTGATCACGTAAACTAGTTTATGTGTAACTTCTGTCCCTAGCTCATCAGTCCCTATATTGAAGGGGTCCTTTAATGCAGATTGAGCAAAATGTAATAGATACTTCTAAGACTTGGAATTCTCAAGGTAGCTCTCAGAGGCTGTACAGTCTAGGGACATGGTTGTCATGGGGGATCTAAATTACCCTGACATCTGCTGGGAGGAGCAGTCAGCCAAATCCTGTCGTTTGTGTAGGTTCTTAACCCGCATGCAGGACCTTCACCTAATGCAGGAGGTCCATGGTCCCACTAGGGGAAATGCCTCACTGGACTTGGTGTTGACTACAGGGGAGGACCTGGTAGGGGAGCTGCAGATTCGTGGTCATCTTGGGGACAGTGACCACCAATCAATCGAATTCACCATCCGGTGTAGGGTGGGTAAGATAACTAGTAGGGTGGAAGTGCTTGACTTTAGGAAGGCTGACTTCAGTGTGCTCAAGAGGGTAGTCAATGACGCACTGCAGGATAGCAGTACTGGCAAGATGGGAGTCCAGGAAGGGTGGTCGTTTCTAAAGGAGGCAATCCATCAGGCACAGAGGGAGATGATCCCAGTATGAGGGAAAAGGGGGAAAGGAGCCAAAAAACTTCCTTGGCTAAACAGGAAAATCCAGGGAGCCTAAGGACAAAAAAGTAGGCATATAGGTAGTGGAAGCAGGGGGAAGCTACCAAGGAGGAGTATACTTATTTAGCCCGAACTTTCAGAGAGGCAGTTAGAAAGGCCAAAGCAACTACAGAGCTGAGGCTGGCAACACAAATTAAAGACAACAAGTCTTTTTTCTGGTATGTAGGGGGTAAAAGAAAGGTGCAGGGAAGCATAGGACTCCTACTAAACAAGGAGCAATTAGTAACAGACAGGGGGGACAAGGCTGAGCTATTCAATGAGTTTTTTGCCTCAGTGTTCTTTACCAGGGTTCTTAGATGGGCATCAGAGGGACACCGGCCTACCAGCTGTCGATGCTGACTTGGTGCAGAGTCACTTAGATGGACTGGATGTGTTCAGATCAGCAGGTCTGGATGAGCTTTATCTGAGAGTACTGAAGGAATTGGCTGCTGTCATAGCAAAACCACCAGCACGGCTGTTTGAGTGCCCATGGTGCTCGGGTTGTGTCCCGGAAGACTGGAAAAGGGCCAATGTGGTCTCAATTTTCAAGAAGGGGAGGAAGGTGGATCCGAATAATTATAGGCCAGTCAGTCTCACTTCCATCCTTGGAAAGGTCTTTGAAAAGATTATGAAGGATCATATCTGTGGGAGTCCAGTGGGAAAAATAATGCAGCAGGGAAACTAGCATGGATTTGTAGCAGGTAGATCATGCCTGACCAATCTGGTTTCATTTTATGACAGGGTCACAAAATGCTTAGACGCAGGAGTAGAGGTAGAAGTCATTTTCTTGGATTTTAGCAAGACCTTCGATACAGTATCTTATCCCGTTCTCATAAATAAATTAAGAGGCTGTGAGATAGATATTTACATGGTCCTGTGGGTTACAAATTGGCTTAGCGGTCGCATCCAGAGAGTGGTAGTAGACGGGTTGGTATTGATCTGGAAGGATGTGGGTAATGGGGTTTGGTACTTGAACCTGTACTCTTCAATATTTTCATCAGTGACTTGGATGTGGGTGTGAAGTGTGCTCTGTCCAAGTTTGCAGGCGATAGTAAATTGTGGGATGAAGTGCAAACTCTGGAGGGTAGGGAATGATTGCAGGCAGACTGGGCCAGGTTAGAAAGGTGGGCAGTACACAATAGGATTCCGTACAACAAGGACAAATGCAGAGTGCTGCACCTGGTGTGCAAAAATATCCAGCATGTCTACTGGCTGGGAAGTGACCCTCTCAGCAACACAGAAGTGCAAAGGGATCTCAGAGTCATAGTGGACTCCAAGATGAAAATAAGCTGTCAGTGTGACAAAATCATAAGCAAAGCTAACTGCGCTTTGTCATGCATCAGCAGATACATGACAAATAGATCGAAGGAGGTGATGCTTCCTCTCTGCGGCATTGGCCAGACCGTAGTTGGAGTACTGTGTCCAGTTTTGGGCACCGTACTTTAAGAAGGATGTTGATAGACTCGAGAGGGTCCAGAGGAGGGCCACTCATATGGTTAGGGGCTTACAGGCCAAGCTCTGTGAGGAGAGACTGAGGGACCTGGACCTCTTCAGCCTCCGCAAGAGAAGGCTGAGAGGTGGTCTTGTGGCCACCTACAAATTCATTAGGGGGACGCAGCAAGGGATCGGAGATGCTGTGTTCATCAGGGCACCTCTTGGGGTAACCAGGAACAATGGTCACAAGCTGACAGAGAACATATTTAGGTTGGATATCAGGAAAAACTTCATCATGGTAAGGGTGGCCAAAATTTGGAATGGGCTTCCAAGGGAGGTGGTACTCTCCCCTACCTTGGGGGTCTTTAAGAGAAGGTTGGATAGGCATCTGGCTGGGGTCATCTGACCCCAGCACTCTTTCCTGCCCAGGCAGGGGATCGGACTCGATGATCTGTTGAGATCCCTTCCGACCCTGGCATCTATGAATCTATGTTCTAGTGGTTTCTTTAAAAGGAGAATTGCCAGCTTGAGATGCAGTTTCTGCTTCATTTCACTTGAGGTGTGCAGTGTAGTAGCACAATAATAATGTTCCTCTTAATATAAAAAATACTTTTGTTCTTCATAGTCATTTACACTACAGTGAAGTAAGATGACCTGTTTTTCTTCCATTGTAATAGATCTAGGGGAGCACCTCTCATCAGATGGTATGTGTGGAAGCTAATACAGTTTGACCCCACAGTAATTTCCAGCATGTTTGGTGGCTCACAAGCATTAAAGAAAAAAAAACCTTTTAGCAAATCAGCAATACAGATGGGAACAAAAAATATCTGTTTACTGTATTGTGTGTGAGAAGGGGGTGCTTTGTGGGAGAGGTCATGTAGGTTATGGCACGTACAGACTTACATACAGTCACAGAGGGAATTTGCAGTAAAGCCAAACAAAATCTAGCCCAAACCTTTTTTTTCTTCCCCCAAGTTTTACTTGTTTATATAGTTTCTCTTGTAGGACTGCTCAGTCTATACCCTAGATTCTCTCTCTAGTCACTCCTACCCTCCTTATGCCAGCATGAAGTAATAAATCACTTGCCTTGGTGAGTCAGCACCTGCTAACAAGTGGAAGGTTTTTGGTGAGTGGTGAGAACCTATTAGAACTTCAGCAGTGTATTCTTGCTGTGTTATGTGAACAAAGTGGGTACTGGCTATATATGTACTAATAACGGCACACTATCTTTCTGGAGGACATAACTGTGTGTGGGAACAGCATTGGTCTTGATGTTTCCACAATATTCATTGAGTAGGGATAGCCAAATTTTGGCAAATACTAAGCTGAAAGACTAGTAGAAAAGTAAACTATTTAAAATTAATGCTGAATAGATCTAAATTTAAATCTAGATTTAAATGAGTCTAGAGTTGTGACTTCTGCTGTTTCCTATAGAGGACCCTTTTGCACTCTAATGAAAACAAATCTAAAGGCAGGTGTTTGCCAGGAAGTATTTTAATTTAATTGCTTTAATAAACAGATAAAGGATTTATTTGTTGATAATTGTTTTAAAACTTTTTACCTAGGTTTGATGATTCCTGTATTTTGTGTGGTGGAGCAGTCGGATACATCTCCTGATTACGATAATCGAGAAGAGCATGCTGAGTTCGTTCTGGTTCGTAAAGATGTGCTCTTTAGCCAGCTGGTGGAGACAGCGCTCCTGGCTCTTGGGTATTCCCACAGTTCTGCAGCTCAAGCACAAGGTATTCAGTGATATTCTTTTCATTTTCCTTGAATTGGCATAAGAAAGCTGCCTTCTATAGCACCTGAGGTCGTTCTGTGTAAGGACGAAGCAGGAAAATTGCTGGTAAATCTTGCAGGCAATTCAATCAGTGCTACTAAAACTAGTCGTGTAACAACCTCAGACTCACTACCTGGTCTGGGAACCATTTTCTGTGTCCTACTGAAGTATGAAACACTGTAATATTTATCATTTGGAGTAAACATGTGTTTGGTTTGATAAGGCAGTAAGTTTTTTGTCTCAAAGAAAATTATGTAGAAGGACCAGATAGACTACCTGGGTGTATATCTAGATAGTGTTATACAATTTGCAGAAAGAAACTTTTCTCCCCTTGTTTCAAGGCCATAATTAACATGATTAACTTGTGTTTAAAATAGTGATATCACACCATTACTTTGTCCCCTATGTTTATATTCGGTACGATAATGTTGGACTCCTTTCATGACTAATAGCTTATTGTATGCATTTACCTCAAATAGTGCTTTGAAATCCTTTGTGAAGCTGCATATTACTGTGCAATTACTGATTTTTTTTTTTTTTTCCCCTCCCCAACCATAGGGACAGTTTAAAATAAAACTCCTTCACCCAGAATTAAAAAAAAACAACCTGATCTAGAAGGCAAAAGAAAACAAGCAGGAAAGAAATCTTGTTGAAATTGTCATCTCTGCATTCCAAGTGAATTGCTTGAATGAATGATGACTATACTTACTTTTCAGAAGAGAAATCTGTAACTTCTAGCCCCATCCTTCCATGGTTTTACAAAACCAGTGTCAGGTTATACTCATTTAGGAATGGCGTTGCTTGGAGATTTGGATGTTAACTGCTGTATTCTCTGTTTCTTTATGAAAAAGCAGTAAGAAAGCTTCAGGTGCATTCAGAATGAGCAGTAGTGGAGTTTGAATCAAACTGTTCTGAAGCTGAGGATATTCTAACATAGTGCTCTGAATGCACGCGTCTGTCCAAACTGTGATAATGATTCATTTCCTTCGTCAGCACATCTGCTTTGTGAGAGGTTCAGTATCTGCATCCAATCAAAACTCATGCAGAGCTATATGAGTTACTGGACTGTTGTTACAGAAAACAACAGTAAAAACAAGGAGAGAAGTTAGGGCGCTTCAGCCCCATCTCTCTCACTTACCCACTCCCCTCCCCCAGTCGTGCCATTTCACTGACACTTTCTTTGAATGCAAAGGTCATTGTATCCTACTGTTTCCAGTGAGCCAGCTTTCTGTTTGACAGCACTATCCATCTCAGTTAACACGGTTGCTCAACATGTTGTGAGCTAACATGTGGAACACGCTGTATTAAGTGGCCAAGATTTGATTCTTGGCACCTACAAAAGGAATGGGCTTTGCAGGGAACCTGCTCCAAGGAGGCATTCCATTGTGCAGCGATCCACGCTGGCTGAGAAACTCGCTGGGGGAAATTCTCCTTTGCAGCACTTTTCTGTTGAGCACACCAAGGAGGACAGTACGATTGACTTACGTAGGAAATTAGCCATTTCTTCTTTGTGTAGTAACTACCATCTTTTCAAAATACAATCTTGGAAAATGAACAGATTAAAATATTATGTCTGTCATTACTAGTATCTCTCTCCTTTACAGGTCTAGTATAATTCCCCTTTCCTGAAGACAGGAAAAGGCATTTATTTAGTCAGGATTTTTTTCATATAAAGCATTAATTCCTGCAGTTACTTTGTATTGGAAAATGTCCTAGATGATATCATACTTAAAATGGAGAAAATACTGTATCAGTATTTATCAGTTCCCAGCTTTGCTTTGTTTTATTTTTTTACCTCACCCAGAAAACTCTGTTCTTCTTAATTATAATAATCACGTATAAAAATAGTGTAGAACATGCCAATTATATCATTTGAAGCTGCCTTTTTTATTGAGTGTGTTATAGGAGAGGTTATCTGTTGGCAAGCTGTAAGATAAGATGCAGGCAAAGCACAAAACTAGCTGGTTTTAAGACGGTTCAGATTCATTGCAAAATTTTGTAAAATAGTATGTGGTGTGAAGATTTATTGGCATGTAAAAAGATTAGTAAAACTGTTTTTCTTTCTGAGCCTGTTTCAAGCCTTTTGGGTCAGGGAAAATCTGCTTCTCTTGTGAGTATTGTTGAGTTTGTTTTTGTTTTTGAAAATATTCACTGACAAGCAATCATTGTGTTCTCTTTACTGATGTTTTGTGAACAGGAAAAAGCTGAATTAAATGGCTGAAGGTACAAGCTAAAGGTTCTCTTATGCTTTCCTAAATGCAATAAATCTCTGAGCAGCTTGCTCCGTAGAAAACTGACTCGGTTACCGACATGAAGAGTTGTCCTGACATTCCCTAGTGCTAAATTAAACATTAATTGGGTAAAGCTTCATGAAGCTACATATAGCCTATGAACTGATGGGTTACCTATCTGTGGGATTACAATTCCAGATACTGTAATCTTCTGGGCTGGAAAAAGGTATATTACTTTTTCCTTTCTTTCCTGATGTTGTCTGGTTCCAGGACGTGAGTGTCAAGGATCATTGAAAGCTTCTGCCTGCTCTTGGAAGCCACCTTTAGAATATATCTTTTTGTGTGTGTTTCCCACTGGAGGTCCAGCTGGAAGAAGAGATGTCATCTGGTTTTTGTGGTAGAATTGTGAGTGTGGTTGTATCAGTTTTCACAATTGTTTTCGTTGTAGCTTGCCAGACTAGGGTAAACAATTTTGAGAGAAATACATGGAAGGATGTAGATGGAATTTCTGAAGATGGACTATTCCTTATTGAAGAAGACTTGTTGTTTCATCACCTCTACCTAGTCCTGAATTATTTGGACAATGGATCTTTACCCAGTAAACAGCTGGTTATAGCATTTTCTATTGACTGTTGTAGTGGAGCCTTTTCCAAGTAACCTTGGCCTCAGGAAAATTTGCTTTGCTGTTGAGAGTTGTGAAAAATCTTCTGCAACAAAATAGGAACTTGTTAACAGCTTGACTGGAGGGTGTGAAATCTGGGAGTGACAATAAAGTTTTAATAAACATTTATGTAGTTTTATTTAATCATTTAAGGCTAGACCTGGCACTAGAAAATCTGCTATATCTTTAGTGCGCAGGACATGTCATTTCTTTACAAGGGCTCTGTGCAGGACATACTATGACATGCTCTCTGCTACTAATTTTGGGGTGGAGGTTGGACATTTCAACTGGGATATTTATGTAAAAAATATAGCCTTTAGGGCTAGTTTTGGATGACCATCAGAATTCAATATTGTGGCCTGCAACTGATCTTTTTTAATAAGAAGAGGGAACTTGCACAGAGACTATAGGTCTCACCAAGGAAATGCTCCACTGAAGATGGATCAAGACATAACTCTGAATGCTGGGGATCATAATTTGCTGCAGGCCCTGGCCCTCCATAGTTAAAAATATAAAGGTAGCGGCCATCTCACTTATTTTATGTGGAGGCCCCCAACTTCTGGATTAGCTGTGGAAGTAGACTCGCTATTACTTTTGGAGGTTTGGGGAGCATAACGCTGATTGAAAACTTTGGCTAACTTTCTGCAATTTTGATTGAAACCAGAGGGGAAAAAATTTAGTCATGTTTTATTTTCCATGGATATTTTTGTTCAGTTCTGTTTGCTAGGCCTGATCAAAGGTTCTTCAAAGAAGCCAAACACTGAATGGGCTGTGCAGACGGTTTAACTTTTGTATTCCCTGAAGATGGTTCTGCTTAGATCAGGATACAGATGTGAGAGACTATTATTTGCTCATATCATAATTGTTTTGTGAAGAAAAAGTATCTGTGCCTGGTGTGATTTTTAGCTGTAGGTTAGAAAAATAGCTACTTAGGAGACATTTCCAATGGCACGGCTGTAGATTTAGAAATAAGGGTGTTGCATGATGTTATTTATTCAAAAAAATCTATATCCATGTCCTGCTCCCTGAAGTAAAACCTATACCGTATAGCTATATGGGTGAGGAGGCCAAGAAGGAAAGGTAAATGGAAATACTGAAGGAAGTGGAGAGATGAGTGCTGCCAGTTGGAGCAGAGAAAATGAGGAAGTCACAAAGGAAATTTTGCTTTTGGGAAGGTGATCACAGAATTGAAGGGACTTGTCCCAGATGCATAATAAGTCTGGCAGGGTCATAAAATAAACCACAGTCTCGCAAGCCATGATACTTTAATGACAATACTCTCCTTTTGCATGGGAGAGGGAGGGCAAACTACTTGGGTCCTACCCTTCCTTTTAATAGCTAATTTGATGCTTTCTGTGATTACTGGATACACTTAAATACTAAAGGGGGAAAAAGCAAAAAGAGAGAAATGACTCCAGTTGCTCTGGGTATTTCAACATTTAGAAAACTAGCAATCAGAAACAATCTGCCAGGTGTTTTAGCGTGTCAGCTTGAATGCTCAGCTCCTTTTGCTTTGTTTAGCTTTTGTGTCATCCTTATAAGTGTATTGCTGTTTTTGGGATTGTTACTACCTATCAATATTAGGAAGGTGTAAATGCTAAGGAGGGAATGGAAATGGCAGAGGTGTTCCTGGAGAATAATGCTAGGAATAGTTGGATGTAACTAATCAAAAGATAATTTTGCATTGAACACAAGGAAACATTTTCTAAGAGCTGGTTTACTTGGACTGTGGCAGGTTTTTACTGCTGTTGAATGCACAGAGAACCACTTTTATGTGTTTATATCAAGAATGAAGCAATAAAAACATGAAAGTGTAGTGGAGCCTTGCTAACTCATACACTCATACTCTCCTAACACTTATTCAAGTAACTGTACATGTAAGTCAGTTGTGCTATCTTATATACAGTTGAAATGGGAAGAAAATCCAAGGTCCTTACCTGGAAGTGTATGCAATCCATTTACAGGTATAGTGAGTTT